TCCTGCTGATGTCCATCCTGAACCTCCCTTGGGGCAGCTTGAGATTATGTCCTCTTCTCCTGTCACTAGTTGTCTGGGAGTTAAATTATAGTCAGGATTAAAATCAGTCTAAGCTTACAGTGAAAGAAATATAAAGTACATGGAAAGATAAGAATCAGAGAAATCAGAAACCCAAGTTGAGAGAAACACAACTATCCTGTAACTAATTTCGTCCTGTAATTACAAAGCAGCAGAACTAATAAGCACAGCTCAGAGCCCTCTCACTGTGTAAGCCATGAGAGCTGACCCACCAGTGCTACAGAGCTGATGTGCACCCCAAGCTCTCCTCGAGCTGCCAAAACCTGCTCCGTTCCCCTAAACCCTTGTCCTCCTCCCACACCTCCCCCCAGCAGGCTCAGGGTTCATGCCCAGGACAGAGGAGCACACACTGCTGCAAAGGCTCTTTACAAGCTCCACATCCAGTAGAGTCCTCCTGCCCTGATGGACTCTGGGGAGCTGCTCCAGCCCGTGGGTCTGGGCAGTCCCTGTCCGGGCAGCACCTCCAGCACAGCTGTGTGAGGACAGCACTGCTGGCCCAGACCTGCTCACGCACAGCCACTGGGGGAGAGCAGGCTCAAATTTGGGTTCCAAGGTGGAAGGTCTCAATTTTCCATGGTTATTCTAAGCAATACTGACCCTGCTGCACACAGGCAACTCCTACCTGGAGTTAGCTCAACTCCAGAGCTGCATTTGTACCATGAATCAGACACACTTTAACATGTGAGCTTGCAAATGGTTATTGCCCAAGGAATGTCACCCACTTGGAGCTTAGGGAACCACGGGACACAACACACACTGAAGGACTGGGAAGAGTTGAGGAGTTCAAATGCAGTATCAAAAGTAAACTCTGGGCCAGTGCAGCTTAATTACTTTTGATAAGGTGAGGCAGAGTGTTCATGTGGCCCTGGGTGGGCTCAAGGACAAGAGAACTACACAGGAACAAACTCTGTGTTCATGGGATGAAGGGACTGCAGAGACTTCCCAGCAGTCAGGTGGAACTTACCCATTCCCTTTTAACCTCCAGCAGGAAAGCAATGATTTAAAGCAAGGCACAATTACAACACATTCCACAACTCACATCAGTTTTGCCAAGACTAACTCATTCCAGCAGTTACCACAGGGCAGGAGAGGAATCCCCCGAGAATTAGCTTTAATTAATGCCAGAAGTCAATTACACAAAGAGAAGAGAGGAAAAAACCTCTTTGGTTGAATGAGTTCAAAGCAAGTCTGAAAGGAAGATACAAAAGACTCAAAGTCTCTAGTTAAAATGTGTGAAGTGCTCCTTAAAATCAGATATTTGGCTCAAAAAACTTACTTCCCTGCAAGTCTTTCTTTAAAATCATAGTAAGTTAAGGGGTTGGAATGGACCTTGAAGACCATCCAGCCCCAATCCCTACCCTGGGGAGGGACACCCTCCACCAGAGCAGGCTGGAGGCTGTTTAATGTGTGAAGTGTCCTTAAAATCACATATTTTGGGCAAAAAATGTGATTTCCCTGCAAGTGTCTATTAAAAATCACGGATTCATAGCATGCTAAGGGGTTGGAATAGACCTTGAGAATCATCTGGTGCCCCAGGTGGGGACACCTCCCACCAGAGCAGGTTTCAGGCTGTTAAATGTGTCAAGTGCTCCTTAAGATCAGATATTTGGGGCAAAAAATGTCATTTCCCTGTGAGTCTACCTAACGGTGATGCCTTTTGCTCAGGTATCTCCCAGGAAAGCAAAGCACTGAGCAGCCTCCAGCAGCACCAGGTCCCTGCATGGTGTCTCCTCTCCTGTTTCCCACCACTCTGGCTGCAGAACCACAACCTCCTGTGCTGTCACTCAGTGCTGTAAATCCAGGATCCACCTTGTGCTTCCCAAGAGCAGATTGCAATGTCACAAACACTGACCCAATACATCCCAACCCAACCCAACATGCTGGAGGAGGAGAAGGCTCCTCTCCCCAGAACATCTGTATCTAAAATATCATCCTTACAGCTCGGAGAGTCTTGAAAGGGTTTCTTCTTCCCCCAAATCCACTCTTGCTTCCTTTTATAAATGACATTTTGCCTCCTCTTTTTCCACCCTGGGCATCACAGTCTCACAATGAGGTAGTTTTCCAAGAGAAAAACTTAACTTTGCTCTTGTACCAGTCTTATACACAAGTCAATTTCTTACTGGAAACCTAATTTATTGATCAAATTCCATATGTTAGAGTCAATCCCTCGGCAGGAACTGGCAGGAACTTTATTCCCCAGGTACCTCAGAGGCCAAGGAACCTCCCTCCGAGGTTAATATATATATATCCCTGAGGGAAATAGATATCTCCCTGAGGGAAATATTTGTCTCGAGGTAAATCTATGTCTCTCCCTAAGGGAAATATATAATCTCCCTGAGGTAAATATGTATTTCATTGAGGTAAATATATATCTCACACATATATGTCTCTCCCTGAGGTAAACCCAAGTATCTCCCCGAGGTGAGTTGCTCGGTGCCCACAGGAGCTGTAAGAAGCCATGAGAGGGTTGCTGTGCAGAACTCCTCCCTGTGGGACTGACACCACACAGCTACAGCCACCTCCTGGGCAGTGTGTGACCTCCTTACCATGACGATGTCTCCAGGCTGGATGGTGATTTCGTCGTGGCTTCTCGACTCAAAAGGATACAGAGCTCTGTAGTACACTATTTTCACATCCTCCTGAGCAGAAATGGTTAGAGGAGCTTTTTCTGAGCACAGAGAAAGAAACACAAAGAGAAAAAAATCAGAGCCTTATTTTTAAACATTTAAAAATGAGGTGAAAATGGAGTAAAACTTAACAAACCTGACAGCATCTGTAGGAAGTTAATTATCCCCTTTTTACACAAGGGGAAATATGAAAAGGAATTACTTAAAATAAAACTTTCTTACTATTTTCTGCTCTAAACATGAGGTAAAATCATGGAATCACAGAAGGTTTGGGTTGGAAAGACCTTAAGGCTCATCCCACCCCATTGCCCTGCGTAGGGACACCTCCCACCAGCCCAGGCTGCTCCAAGCCCCATCCAGTCTGGCCTGGAACACTCCCAGGATCGGGAATCCTCAGCCTTTCTGCACAGTGTTCAGCCATCCAAGTGCTCTCTGCACAGTAAACCCAAGAGAACATTTTAGATTTAGCCCAAATCTAGAGCTGACTTAAACACAGGAGTTGATTTCCCTCAGGCAATGCCTGGATCAAATATTTAAACAGATATTACACTCCAAATCAGCTCCCATGTGTAGCAAAGCCACTGAAGGGGGAACTAAGACTCCCAAATAGGCAAAAATCAGTATATAATGCACAGAAAAAACTCTCAGCTGAAAGCAGCTGTGAAGAGAGCAGGAAAAGAGGGAGCAAATCCCTTCACTGGGCACTGTCTCCCAGCCGTGCCTGACACTCTGTAAACTCCACAACTTCAGGAGAGACTTTTTGGAGCCTGGAGCATAATCCATACATCATATGTAATAAGACCAGAAATCCAATCTTGAGGTATCCTCATGTATTACATGGGAAGATAGAGGAGAGAAGAACTGATCCAGAGGAACATGCAAAGCATCTCCTTCTGTGGGACTCTACCTGCATTGGACCATGGAGCTTGCACAGCTGGCTTGTTAGGATCCTGGTGGGGCTGGAAAAGCTTATTCAGCTTCTCCTGCATCTCCTGCTTCCCCTCACTTTCCTTCTTCTTGGGCATTTCTTCCCTTTTTTGCTTCTCATCTTCCTGAAGTTTTTTTTGCCACTGCAGCTCCTCCTCAGGCTGCCCTCGGTCCAGGCGCGGCTTGTCCCGGTCCTGGAGTCTCCTGTGGGACAATCAGGGGGTGTCAAGCTACTCAGACCAAAGACCATCAAAGCGAGGTGTCCCTGGGGTGACCTCTAGTACCAGACAGCCCCTTCCATGGGGAAATTCCTCCTGACGGCCAACCTGACCCTCCCCTGGCACAGCCTGAGCTGTTACCCTTGTCTTGTCCCTGTTCCCGGGGAGCAGAGCCTGAGCCCACCTGGCTGCACCTCCTGGCAGGAACTGGAGAGAGCAATGAGTTCCCCCTGAGCCTCCTGTTCCCCAGGCTGAGCCCACACAGCTCCCTCAGCCACTGCTCCTGTCACTGACTCTGCACACCCTTCCCCAGCTGTGTCCCCTGCCCTGGACACCTCCAGCACCTCCACGTCTCTCCTGCAGAGAGGGCCCAGGACTGGTCTCAGCATTCTTGGGGCTTCCCCAGTGCCAGCACAATTCCTTAGGAGGAAAAATCCACTTCCCAAGCATTAGGTGGCACCAGAGGGCACCAATCTTCCTTCCATCACTGGAAGTTCTGAGCCAACAGGAACATTGTCCAAGAGATGTCAAGGTTTGAACCAAGGTCTCAAATTAAAGCAGTTTGTTACCTCTGAGCTTCTTTTTGCTTTTCCAGCTCCACTGTCTTCCTTTCTTGCTCCTTCTGTTTCAACCTCTCTGCCTCCAAGCTCTTCTGCTTCTGCAGCTGCTGCTTGTTGTGTATTTCCCTCAGCTCCTGGAGGAAAGAAAGGAACACGGGTGTAAACACACACTGTGTGAAGCAGAACTGATGGTCCCAGAGATCTCCCTGCGACAGAGCAACACGTGTTTGGGGAACTCTGTCCACACTTGGTCTTGCCAAATGCAGTGCAAAACATTTAAGGGACATTTCCAAGCCTAAAATCCACATACTGTTTTCCTATTTTTATCCCTCATTTTACTTCCTATCAATATTTCCTGTTTTTATCCATGAAACTGATAAATTCGAGGGTTAAGAAACAAGAAAACCTTTCAATGGGACTCTAGAAACTGGCAAAGTTCAATCTGAAAAGTCACTTATGTCTTTTTTTATGCTCTTTGCTGCTTGTGGAATTCGTTTATAATTTCCATACAAAACTTGCCTTTGAGCTGCCAACAGCAACACAGTTCAACAGTTTTATTTTGAAGCTAATGGGATTTAGTGAAGAACCTTCAGGGTTGGTTACACTCAGTTCCTTCAGCAGAACCTTGGGGATGAGTCTTGGTGCAGAGAGAATTCATCCACAGACAGTTACACTCTTCTCTAACTACCTGGAGTGACATTGCCTGGAAAATCTCCTATTTTTATATAAATCATCATAAAATCATATTTTCTCCAGATTTGTTCTCTGCACTAACATAAGTACAGGTTTGACTTGGAATCCCTTTGTATAATCCCCAACTTTGCATCTCAACTCCTTAGCACTGCCAGGAGAAAAGGGATAACTGCCTGTGACAACTGAGGATTCTCACTGAAAACAGGTCACTTAAAGAAAGTGATTTGCTTTAATGAAAACAGTAGACAGGTTTGGGGGTGAGGGTGGTGGTGCTGATAAAGCACTTGAACATCAGACTATTTCATGACCAGCTCAATGTTATGAAAGGTTTGGAACCCAACACTGATTCATAGCTTCTCTCTGAAGAACTCTGACACTCCTTCTGCAGAAACACCAGATCACAGAGGTTTAACACAAGACTGAGCAGCACAGCATGCAGGTGCTCAAACTTATCCCTAAGGGCATTTTGCAGGTTGAGTTGATTCAAACTCTGAGTTTGAAAGCTAAGTGGTATTTTTATAATGATAAAATTAAAGAAACCCTCAAAAAACCTCCAAAACTTTGGTTCCAAATCTTTTGAGCGTTGAGATCTGTTGATTTCTGAGACCTTCTCCAAAGGATTGGGAACACTCCCCAAACTGACCTGATGAACAATCATTTCAGCTCAGTATTTCCCCCATAATGAAGTCAGCAAATTCTTAGCTGAACATGCAGAACAGAGGGTGAAAGAGCTCTGGGTTACCTTCAGCTGGTTGTTGAAAATGTCAATCTCCTGCAGTTTGGACCTGGTTTCTTTCTCCACCTCATCCAGCTGCTCCCGGAGCTGCTGTCGTGCCAGTTCCTTGGCTTCCAAAGCTCTTTTGATAGTTAGAAGAGAATCTCCTGTTTCAAACACATAGTCAAATAATTACCTACTGAAATGGAGAACTTTCTCCGTCTATGGAGCATTTTAGGCCACAGAAAGCAACATTTTCCACCATGCACCTTGCAACCCCCAAAAGCAGTGCCAGAGGACACTGTGCAGAGAGGGAACTTGCCCTGCAGGAAGCCAGAGGGGCCCAAAGGTCTACTCACTGTGCAAACTGTTCTGCTGGACTTGCTTGAGCTGGTCATTAAGCAGCTGCTTCTCTGGGATCAACCTCCCCAGCATCTGCTGAGATTCCTGCACCAGGACAGGGAGAGCGAGAGGAGACACAGGTAGAGAGGTGAGTGAGGGATCACCTCAGCCACTACACCTTTCCTCCTTCTCTGCTTTCTCCCTCACTAACTGCTGTGTTACTGCTCTTATCTAAGCACTATCCATGGGATGTTTCCACATGGACATGTTCTCTGCCAACACAGAACAGTGAGTGCACCACATGGAACTGATCATCACTGAGTACATAACTGAGGGTGAAAAGAAAAGGATGAACTTCAGGGAATGTCCAAAGAAGCACTAACTAAGGGTTTAATTCTCATTTTAACAAATGAATCCCAGAGTCCCTGAGGCTGGAAAAGCTCTCCCAGAGCACCAAGTCCAACTTGGGACCCATCACCACTTTAACAGTGAGTGCACCACATGGAACTGATCATCACTGAGTACATAACTGAGGGTGAAAAGAAAAGGATGAACTTCAGGGAATGTCCAAAGAAGCACTAACTAAGGGTTTAATTCTCATTTTAACAAATGAATCCCAGAGTCCCTGAGGCTGGAAAAGCTCTCCCAGAGCACCAAGTCCAACTTGGGACCCATCACCACTTTAAGCCCAGAGCGGCTGTTGGAAAAGAGCTGTCCCTGTTGTCCCATGTAGTCACAGGAACACACTCACTCCATGATGGGATGTGCCACACTGTCACACTACAGAGAGTCACTGAGGTTGGAATAGACCTCCAAGTCCACCAAGTCCAACCTGGGACCCATCACCACCTTCTCAGCTAGCCCAGAGCTCTGAGGGCCACATCCTGAGCTCCTTGGACACCTCCAGGGATGGTGACTCCACCACCTCCCTGGGCAGCACATCCCAGTGCCTGACAGCCCTTTCCACAGGGAAATGCCTCCTGATGGCAAACCTGACCCTGCCTCGGCACAGCCTGAGGTGTTTCCTCTCGTCCTGTCCCTTGTTCCCTGGGAGAACAGGTCGACCCCACCTTGCTCCAACCTCCAATAAAGTTTGTTAACAAACAACATTAGTAACATTATTAATGAACAGTAACTTTGATCAGGAGTAGAAAGACAGATGTCTACAGTTAATGCGAAGCAGAGAACGCAAAGCCTTCCATTTGAGATGACTACACTCTGACTGAGAGCCGTGGAGCAGGAGGACACCACAGCCCCTGATGCCTCCACGCAGCACCCCTGGGAGGGGATCAGGATCCTCAGTCTCAGCATACAGCTGTGAGGCTGTGAGCTGCACGTTGCAGAGGTGCCTGCAGAGGACAAATTTCTCCTTTGGAGGATCATGTAAATATCCGTATCTCATCCATAATCCTTGCTCCTTCTAGAGCATGCAGTGCTGCTCCACACTCCCTTACAGTCCCTAACCTCCCACTTCAAGCTGTCAAAGCACATTAGAGCAGCATGGGGTGAAACAGCTTATTTTATCCAAGTCACCTCAGTACCCACACCCCATCTGCCAGGCAAAGCTGGGAGTTCCCTCCAGCAGCTGTCTGGAATCACAGGCTGCTGAGGCACCAGCTGACAGCTTCAGTTTGTCAGTAAGGATTGTGAGTGACATCACAGGATCCCAAGAATAACTGTCACCTGATTGTTAACGTGAGCACGACACGGAGACTGGGGAGGCCTCAGCACTGGGAGTGCTCCAGGACAGGCTGGATGGGGCTTGGAGCAGCCTGGGCTGGTGGTAGGTGTCCCTCCCAGGGCAGGGGTAGGATGGGATGAGCTTTAAGGTCCTTCCAGCCCAAACCATTCCATGATTCTAGAGCTCCTTTGCCCTGGAGCCAGGCTGGGAGAACTGGGGGTGTTCACCTGGAGAAGCTCCAGGGAGACCTAAGAGCCCCTTCCAGTGCCTCAAGGGGCTCCAGGAGAGCTGCAGAGGGACTTGGGACAAGGGATGGAGGGACAGGACACAAGGAATGGCATCCCACTGCCAGAGGGCAGGGACAGATGGAGATTGGGCAGGAATTGCTCCCTGTGAAGTGCTGAGGCACTGGGCACAGGTTGCCCAGAGCAGCTGTGGCTGCCATCCCTGGGAGTGTCCCAGGCCAGGCTGGATGGGGCTTGGAGCAGCCTGGGCTGGTGGGAGGTGTCCCTACCCAGGGCAGGGTGGGATAGGATGAGCTTTCAGGTCCTCCCAACCAAAATCATTCTGGGATTCTATGATAAGATGAGTGCCATGAGAGGCTTGTGGTTCTCATTCCAAAAGCACAGGACTGACTGCACTGCCATGACTCTGGAGCTGTCCCACTTTCCTCCTGGCAGTCCCTGATTGGGCTCAGCAGTGCACAGCTCAGATCTGATGGTTATGCAACGACTGCAGGCAACTGTCAGCTCTCCCTGGTGCAGAGAACACCCTGAGACGGCTCAGCACAGCCAAGGCCTCTCCAAACTCACAGAGGCAAAATTCAGACAAACTAAATATTCAACTCTGAGGAGTTACATATGTTCCTCACTGCTCAGCTGCTCTGGCTGTGCATCCACAGAGCTTTCCAGCCCTTCAGGGATACCCTGGAAGTCAGTACTCCTGTCACAGTCTGTGCTGGGGGGGCCTCACCTCCAGCCCTGGGGCAGTTTGGGTGCCTCAGTGTAAGAGAGATCTAAAGCTGTTAGAGAGTGCTGAAATGAGGGACACAAGGCTGGGGAAGCGTCTGGAGGAATGGTTGAGGCACTTGGGTTGTTCAGCTGGAGCAGAGGAGCCTGAAGGCAGAGCTCAGCAGGGTCTGCAGTTCCTCCCGAGGGGCAGTGCAGGGACAGCTCTGATCTCTGTGCCCTGGGACAGGGACAGGATGAGGGAACAGCTGGAGCTGTGTCAGGGGAGGGTTAGGCTGGAGAGCAGGGAAAGGTTCTTTCTCCAGAGGTGTTAGGGCACTGGGACAGGGTCAGGTTGGATGTCAGGACAAGGTTCTTCCCCCAGAGGTGTTTGGGCACTGAACAGCTCCCCAGGGCAGTGGTCACAGCCCCAAGGCTGACAGAGCTCCAGGAGGGTTTGGCCAATGTTCTCAGGCTCAGGGTGCAGTGTTGAGGTGCCCTGGGCAGGAATTGGACTCTGATCCCTGTGGGTCCTTCCAGCTTAAGAGACTCCATGATTCTGTGATCATGGGACTATTAACTACCTAAAACCAAATGGGAAACAGGAGTATATAACCTTCTCCTGGTGGGAGGTGTCCCTGCCCATATAGGGGTTGGAACTGGATGATCTTTAACGTCTCTCCCAACCCAAAGCATTCTGGGATTAAGAATCCTGTGGATAAGCCAAACAGCATGATAGATGTCAAAACAAAACCCGATTTACAGAAAAATATCTCATTCTTCAAGCTCAAGAGCAACACAGAACAGTATTTCAGGGTGGAATGTGCTCACAACCTCAGATCTGGTGTTTTTAAAGGCCAAAACTTTCAAAACTGCAGATTACTCCATCCCAAGACACTGAATAGTTTGGGAGTGTGTAAGGATGGACAATGCCAAGAGATCACAAAGGTCAAGTTCTGTTTCCTGAAAGCACAGACAACCATGGAATAACAAGCATCTATCCAAGAACATCCACCACGTGATTCTCCACATTTTCTCCTCATAGTGAAGGAACAGACCAAAGAAATGAATAACATCATGAACTCCGAGGTTTCAAGGAAGGTCCAAGAGAGTTATGTCTCACATGGCAGTGGAAATCACAGGCCAGGTCCTGTGACTCTGCAGGGGGAAAGTTCCACCCTGAGCACTCTGCCACACACCACAGACCCACACAGCTAACTAACAGGCTTCCCTCTCCCTGGAACAATTAGCATACAACTTCCTTCACAAGGTTAATGAAACTCCATCCTGAACTTAATTAATAGGCTGAGGAATAATTACTGCTCTGAATTAACTCATCCCTCCAGTGTCAGATGTGTTGAACTAAAACATTCCCAAGTGACCTACAACAGTAACTGACAGTGCTGACTTCTTAATCTGTTTGAGGGTTTAGAGGATCACAATCTCCTGTTCAGAACTCACTCAGTGCTTTGCTCTGTTCTCCAGAGATCAGACAGGAAAACGTAGAGGGTATTTGAGAAAATAATGGGTTTTTTTCAAGGAAAGATCTATCCACTCTTTCAGGTTCTCCCCAGATAAAAACTGGTCTTTCCAACCACATCATGACACATCCTCTGGGAGCAAAACGGGACAAAACCACCTGGGGTGACACTGAGGGAACTGTCAGTGGAAGAGATCAACGAGCACCTGAGAGAGCTTACAATTCCACAAAGCCACAGCTGTGGCTGAGAACCTACCTCAGGCCCAAACCCCAACAGAACAACTGCCAGGAAAGGCAGGAGTGGTTTCAGGCCAGGTGGGATGGGGCTTGGAGCAGCCTGGGCTGGTGAGAGGTGTCCCTGCCCAGGGCAGGGTGGGATGAGATGAACTTTAAACTCCTGCCAACTCTCAACATTCTGTGACTCTGTGACCAGCCAAGAACTAATTTCAAGCAATATAAAATACTCAGTAAAGAGAAAAATCCCTGAATCAAACACAACTCACTGAGAAACCTTTACACACTGCGAGGAACATTCCTTCACTCACAGCAAAGACCTGCTCACATCCAGCCTGGCTTTGACAGAGTTTTAGACAGAGAAGTAGGAAAGGCAAATTCCAGGGTTAGACCAGGAACTAACTGGTTTAACTGGAAACTTCCATTTGACAGTTCATTACTGTACAACTGAAAAAGGAAATCATCCACAAGCCTGGACTGAAGTGTCTGTGCCGACTGAGGATGGCAGACACACCTTGAGGTGCAGCAAGCAACTCTTGGATGTGTCTGAGGAATAGCAATTCACAGAATGACAAATTCCTACAAGGATTCCTTAAGAGCCAGGAAGGACCCACACTGGGCCAAGCTTGTCTGGAGCATTGCTGCAGGTGAGGGAGACAAAATTCAGGCCTAAGAGTAAAACAGAGGATGTCTTCTCACCTGTAGCTGCTGCTGCAAGTGGGTGATTTCTGCAATTCTGAGCTCCCTGGACTTGTTGGTGCTTTCAATCTCTTGCCTTTGGCTCGACAGGCGACATCTGATGTCCTGCAGTTTTCCCTCCAGCTGGTTCCTTTTGTCATTCTTTAAAGGAAAAGAGAAATACCTCTATTTTTTGTGCTACCAAATGTCTTGTCATGCCACTCAGGCCCCAAAAGTACTAAAATCTCCTACTGAAATGACAGACAGACTACAGAGAACAGACACAGCCATGGCACAGCCACCCCACACTGCTCGTGTGCTTCACCTGCAGCACCATCACTTACTAGAGCCTCCAGTTCAAACTCCAGGGTCTTCTTCTTTGCCTTCAGCACAACTATGTCCTCCTGCTCCTTGTTCCTCTGGTTGAGCAGCTCCTGGCGCCGGTTGCGCTCCCACTCGAGCTGCCGCTGCCGCTCCAGCTCCCGTTTGGCAGCCTGAGGCAGGAGAACCACATCTGTAGTCACTGGGAATCACCCTCTGAGCACCCACAGAATACTGGGGGTAAATATGTGTCTCTAACCACTCAAACTGCTCAGAGGTTTCAGTGCTCAGTGGTGAAATGGAGCTTCACCAGGGCTGAACAGAGTATCCCTTCACTTCCATGAGTCCCAAGATCCAGATTGACACAGGATCACTGTGGCTGGAAAAGACCTCTGAGATCACCGAAGTCCAACCTGTGACCACTTGTCAGCTAGCCCAGAGCTCTGAGTGCCACATCCTGAGCAACTTGGACACCTCCAGGGGTGGTGACTCCACCACCTCCCTGGGAAGCACATCCCAGTGCCTGACAGCCCTTTCCATGGGGAAATTCCTCCTGATGGCAAACTTGACCCTCCCTTGGCACAGCCTGAGGTGTTTCCTCTGGTCCTGTCCCCTGTTCCCTGGGAGCAGAGCCTGAGCCCACCTGGCTGCACCTCCTGGCAGGAGCTGGAGAGAGCAATGAGTTCCCCCCTGAGCCTCCTGTTCCCCAGGCTGAGCCCACACAGCTCCCTCAGCCACTGCTCCTGTCACTGACTCTGCACACCCTTCCCCAGCTCCATCCCCTGCCCTGGACACCTCCAGCCCCTCCATGTCTCTCCTGCAGAGAGGGCCCAGAACTGAGGCCAGGACAACATCCAATCTCATTCCAAGCTCCAATATTGGACATCCTGCAGCTCTGCAAACAGCCAAATGCTACATATGGACACATCAGCATTTGGAAGGGAAAAAGTAAGAGCTTTTCGAGCTCTTAGGCATGGGAATTTGGGCACTGGAAGGAGCTGCCCACGGAGGTGGTGGAGTCCCTGGAGGTGTTCAGAGAATCTGGCACTGGAGGATATGGGTGAGTGGTTTAGGGGACACAGTGGTGGTGCTGGTGGATGGCTGGACACAGAGGGAGTCCAACTCTCTTCTGACCCTGATGATTCTATGATCCCAAAGCTATCCAGGATGTGTTTTCTCTAACAAATTAAAGGTCAGGCTGATGAGGACTAGATGTTCCTTGGGTCTTTCCAACCCAAAGCAGTCTGGGATTCTATGAATTAACTTATCCCTGGAACACCATGAATGCCACAAGTTTTTCTTCATACACACAAAATACGACTAATTAGTATCATCACCTTTTTAAGCAGTCAGGGTTTAGCAGCACTTTGTCCTAGACCCAAACCACAGAATGTTGAGAGGTTGAATGGACCCTAAGGGTCACTTAGTCCCAACCCTCCTGTGTCATCCACTAATTCACAAGCCACATACAGAGAGTGGCGACTCTCCCAGCCTCAAAACTATGTCCATGCTCCAAATGTTTCTCACAACAGGACAGGAACATGCTCAGGGCACACATCACACCTGGCTGGGTTCAACCCTTCAGCTGGACCCATCGCTTACCTCTCTCCTCTCGATCTCTTTCCTCCTTTCCTCCTCCCTCTGCCGCTCCAGCTCCCGCTGTTTTTCCAGCTGTTTCTCCAGCTCCAGCTGCCTCTTGCGCTCCTGCTCCTGCCTCTCCCGCTCCTTCCTCTCCTGCTCCGCTCGCTCCAGCTGGGCCAGTCGCTCCTGCTCCTTGCGCTGCTGCTCCAGCAGGGCCTGTCTGCGCTTCTCCAGCTCCAGGTTGCCACGCTCAAAGTTCTCCCGTTTCTTGTCCTCAAACGTCACTGGAAACATGAGGCAAAAGGAGAATTAAACTGTGTTAGTGACTTTCAAAAATCCACATGGGCTGAATCCAAGCAAAACAGCATTCCAACAGCACTAGGTGCACATCTCCAGTATGGATGATCTCTACAGGGAATTCTGCACTGGCTCTGACACTGTTGATGCCCTAAAACCCTTAGGAAACCAAGGTGTGAATTTCCATTCCCATCCCTCAGGCTTCACAAAGCCCAACAAGAGGGACCTCCTGTGGAGCACTTGGGCCAAGGTATCCTCCACCTCAGCCACAAGTGAAGGCAATGAGATGTTCTCCTTGCAGACCTAACAGCAAAGTGCAGGAGAGGAGGAGCATCAAGGGCTCTTCCCATCTCCACTGTCACCAACACAAAGGAACATCCCTCTGGGAACACCACACAGAGTATCTCCCTGGTCTCCTGGCTCACCTGGTAGCTTCTTTTCCAGTTGCTGCTGCTCCTCTTCCAGTGCTGGCTCTTCTGGCAACCTTTGGTCTACAGACACCGAGCTGGCAGTCGATACGCCGCTGCCAGAACGGACTCTTCTGCCAACAAACAGCAGTTTCAGGGGCTTGAAACAACCTGGGGCCGCCCAAACCGCTCGCCATTAGTGATGAAACCAAACCAAACGCAAGGATGTTGTGGCATTTGGTGCTGCCCAGAGGGTCTTCCTCAGGATAAGAGACCCCAAGAGCTCACCGGTGAGCTGACAAACCCTGGTCCAATGTCCACACGTGTCCAACCCTGTCCCCAAGCCCTCCCACTGGAGTCACGGAGACGCTGACTCAAATACAGCAGCACAGACAGGGGAAGAGCTCACTGGTCAGGCTGAGAACAAGATCCCTCATGGAATACACAAACCAGTGGGAATGTCCAGGAGGACACGGCAGGCAAACACTTCTTTCCACTGCTGCTCCTGTCTTCCCACCCACTTCTCCCCAAAACAGGTGGACTAGAGGAGCAGAAGTGATGAGTGACCTCAGTGTCCACAGCTCCTGTGGTTTGCCAGGAGAAACTCCCAGCAGGTTTGGAATTCCAACACGATTCCAGGAGCAGCAGCTTGAAGTGAAATTTGGGATGTGAAGCCCAAGGTGTTCCCAGAGTCTCCCCTGCCCTCCCGGGGGGTCACCTGAAGGAGGGTGGGATGAACTCCGGGGGCAGGGCGGGAGGCAGGGGCTGTCCGGCCATGGCCACGTCGATCAGGTGCATGGCCAGGATGAACTCCTCGGCCGTCAGCTTCCCGTCCTGGTCGATGTCCGACAGGTTCCTGCCAGGGACACGAGGCTGTGGTCAGCCAGGAATGCTCTGAGCTCTTTCGTCGGTGCTGGCTGCTGCATTTCCACCTCTTTTTTACTCTATTTTTTCCCTGCTTTTCCCACTTTTTTTCATTATTATTTCACTATTTCTCCATATTTTTTTCTTGTTTTTTACTGGTTTTTTCCCACTGTTTTCCACCTTTTTTCCCCACCATTTTTTCCACTACATTTTTAGTCATTCCACTAGGTTTTTTCCACTGTTTTTCCATCATTTTTTCCCACCATTTTTTCCACTACGTTTTTAGTCATTCCACCGGGTTTTTTCACTATTTTGTCACTATTTTCCATTGGTTTTCCACTATTTTTTCACTGGCCTTTCACTTTTCCCCCACTATTTTTCACTAATTATTTTCACTATTTTTCACCTTTTTTCCCCTCCCACTGCTTTTTCGCTGATTTTTTTCACTACTTTTTAGTATTTTTTCACTATTTTGCGCTATTTTTTCACTCGTTTTTTCCTACCTTTTTCCACTGGATTTTTCACCATTTTTTTCACCTTAATTTCACTATTTTTTTCACTTTATTTCACTGGTTTTTGAACTTGTTTTTCCAGTATTTTCTTCACTATTTTTCAACATTTTCCACTATTTTTTTCCTTTTTTTTTTCACCTTTTAAAAACCATTTTTTCACTGTTTCTTCCACTGTTTTTTTTTGCCCACTGTTTTCTCACACACCTTTGTTTCCTCCAAACACACTAAAAGCAAACCCTCAGTGCCTCCCTACGTACCCCATTCCTCAGGGGTGTCTGCCTTGCCCTCAGCCTTGTGACCATGGCTTGTGCTCCAAGAGCTCCAGGAGGAAGTTACTCACTGGAGTCCTCCTGAACTCCTCAGGAACAGCCAGGGTCCCAGAGCAGGGAGCAAAGCCTCAGGCTCAGGAGGGTTTGGCCAATGCTCTCAGGCTCAGGGAGCACTGTTGGGGTGTCCTGGACTGGGGTTCACTCTGGTCCTTGGGGGTCCTCCCAGCTCAGGATTTGTTCCTTCAGCTGCACTCTGACCATGTAGGAAAACCTCCCACGATACTGTGAAACCCAGGGAAGCAAAGGATGGATTCTTTTGGTGCCTGAAGGTACAGCACTTTGCTGATGGAAATTAAAAGTGGAAGACAATTAAGAGTCTCATTTGACCCATGACTGTGTCACTGAACTCCTCAGGCTGGAACATAAAAAGTCAAGAGAATGAAAGTTCAACACAGAGTCATGGAATATCCTGAGCTGGAAGGACCCACAGGGCTCATCAGTGCAACTCCTGCTCAGGACACTCCAACAATCACACTGAGCCTGAGAGCATTGGCCAAACCCTCCTGGAGCTCTGTCAGCCTTGAGGCTGTGACCACTGCCCTGGGGAGCTGTTCAGTGCCCAAACACCTCTGGAGGAAGAACCTTTCCCTGCTCTCCAACCTAACCCTCCCCTGACACAGCTCCAGCTGTTCCCTCAGGCCTGGGAGCACACTAGAGTAGTCACACAACCTACCTAAAGGCTGGCAACAAGCAGAGCAGTGTTTGGTTTACCATCTGCTGGATGATTGGATTGATTTCTCTTTGTCCCTTTGTTAGGAAACAGAAGCAAAGAGTGTTTTAAGATTGGCTTTGCAGGGAGCACAAGAGCAGCTGAAGCAGCAGCTCAGAGTGACCTCAGCACCTCACCCTGCCAGGGGGGTGAGCTGCCTCAGCAAAGACTCATTAAGCCTAGAAGTTAGTTAGAAACAACTTCCCACAAGATAATAAGAACACCATAGAGTTCAGCAAACAACAAGCTGGAAGGAAGAGAAGCTGAGGTGAATCCTTTTAAACTCCCATACTGTAGGTGTTTCCAATTCCAGCCCCTGGGAAATAAGTCCTTCATTTCCCAAACCCCTTTGAAACTCAAGGGAAAGGCAGAGAACCCCTCAAAAAAAGTGTGGTTTGGGTCAAGCTTCCTGTTGTGCTACCTGTGCAAAGGCACAGGTTTCACTGTGCCGTGCCATGGGATGTGGAATCCACAGGATTTGCTCTGCCTAAAGCCCCTCACTGAACCCAAACTTGCTAATCACCTCTGGGCATGGCTCAAGGGAGGTGAAGTGACATATTTGTGAAGTACTTCTCTGAAGTAATATTCACAAGGGCAAAGAAGTGAAGGTTTAGGTTCATGAAGTTATACATGGAAAAGAGCGACAGGTGATTTATCAGTGCAACAAGGCTGAACATGGACAAAACCTCCCCAGAATCCAGCCCAGACTTTTAGGAACAGTTTCTAGGTGCTGGAAATGAAGACATCTGTCTTTACCAGATTGTAGCCAGCTGGGCCTGGGGTAAACTTGACTGCATGAGAATTGTCCTTGCTTGGGGACCTGGAAGTGAAACAAGAGTTAACAAGCAAATAAGCAAGTCTGAAGAGATGTGATCAGCATCAACAACAATCAAATAACACACAACTCTTCCCTTCTGCACAGTATTTATGGAATTATAGACTGGCTGGGTTGGAAGGACCTTAAAGATCATCCAGTTCCACCCATCCATGGGCAGGGACACCTTCCCCCAGCCCAGGCTGCCCTGAGCCCCATCCAGCCTGGCCTGGAGCACTCCCAGGGCAATCAGATCCTTGAGATTAACACCAAAAGGCTCTGAAACACAAAGAGACAGACCAGAGCTGGTGAGCTGAGCCAGGAAGCAGCCCAGGCCCTCCCCACAGCAGGAAGGTGCTCAGCAGTGCATGAGATGAGCACTGGGAATGACCGTGCAAGTTGCTGCAGGAACCACTGGGTCCTTTTCCAGAGCCATTCCCAGTGCCAACTTACTTGGCATCAACAGAGGAAATAAAATAAGGGAAATAAAATAGAGGAAATAAATAAAACAAAGGAAAGTTGCTGATAAAATGATCCCAGTTGTGGTGACTATTTGCTCCTAAACATGAACAAGAAGCACTTGGGAGAGCCAAACACAACAACGTTGACAAGTCTCTCACTATCTGAACAACAACCTCAGTGCAATTAAAATTGGCCTTTTACAGCTCTGGAAAACAAGAGAAAAAACTGTTTTGGTACCTGTTAAGTGTCCACTCATGGATTTGTCGTGGCTGTTGAACAACTGTCGGTACTTTAGCCGTGAGGACTGAGGCACAGCCCACTCTGCCACGGGAGGGACACTGCAAGGACACAGCACAGGGAGAGCATGGCACACTGAACCGCCTGGAGCCAACGGGTGCAATCGTGGGACCATGGAATGCTTTGGGCTGGAAGGACCTTAGAGGTCATCCAGTTCCATCTAGCCATGGGCACGGACACCTCCCACCAGCCCAGGCTACTCCAAGCCCCATCCAACCTGGCCTGGAGCACTCCCAGGGATGGAGCAGCCACAGCTGCGTCACCTCACAAGAAGTGCTGCACAGTTAATTCTATGCCTGAAATGGTTCTTTAACCCAATATATGGAAGGAATTCCTCCCTGTGAGGTGCTGAGGCACTGGCACAGGTTGCCCAGAGGCAGGGCAGGGTGGGATGGGATGAGCTTTGAGGTCCTTCCAATCCAAAGCAGTGTGTGATTTCCTCAGCTGAACTAACAGTGTTACTGGCAGTGACTCTGCCCCAGACTCTCCCCGAGGCTCAGCAGTTCAGGGATTGCAGGAGTGGATGGTTCCCACCCTGTAACACCCACTGGATCCTCACTGGCTGCTGAGCTCCAGTGGCACTGGGACAGCAATGACCAGAAAAGATGGAGCCGCCCCAGTTCAGGTTCGCTGTTTTTCAGTGAGTTCCGCGGCCTAAGCAGAGTTGGAATTAAGACTTGGATGAAAACTGACCCCTCTGTAATTAGCTCTAACTCAGCTCTCACTGTACCAGACCTGAGGCTCATTAGTGAGGTGAAACAGAGCTAAGGCACGAGGAGCAACTGGATTTCTCCTTCCTCTTCCTCCCTGTGCCAGGTGGGTTGGGATCCCTCCATGCAATGTCCATCCCATGACTTGTGTTTGTTCAGAGAACACTTCTTAGGCTCCTGCAATTTCCTACCCCTTGGTCAGTGCCTGAGGAGTTCACACGGAACCCTTGTCAGGCTCAGTTTGCCACTGGGAAGTGCTGAATAACTGTCTGACGGCCTGCAGGATTAACTCTTTCTATTCCTGTTTACTCTTTTCATTAAAGCAAATCCCTTTCTTTAAGTGACCTGTTTTCAGTGAGAATCGTCAGTTGTCATAGGCAAAGTTATCCCTTTTCTCCTGGAAATGCTGAGGAGTCAAATATTTTGCCTTTAAACATGACCCTGGAGCTGCTAATCTTGTATAATATACATCTTGTGCTGGTTTCAGAGCCCCAGGAGAGTCAACACAGCACTACCTGGTGCAGGAGATGTTTACAGGAGCAAATCCTGCTGGAAAAATGAAGTTTCAAGAGTTTGAAACTGGTGCTAGCACTGTTGATAGTTAATTACCTCAGCCAGGACACACCACTCCTGGAGCATTCCCTGCCAAACCACAGCAGCCCACGACAGTAGTACCTCAGAACTGATTTCTGCAGCAAATCTGAGCTCAGAAAACAACTCCATGGAAGGGAAGGAGCCTTTGCAGCCCTGGGGAGAAGAGCCACAGCTGTGCCCCAGCTCGACTCACCTGGCCACATCAAAGGACTGTGCCTTTTGCAGCTTGGCATTGAGCTGTGCCCCTGGCCCAGAGCGACTGAAGGAAGAACTCTTTGGCAATGTGGCTGTGGAGAGGAGAATCCATGGAATTATTAGCATTAGCACTGCAAACCGCAGAACTTCCATGACACTCATTCAGTTCCCAACACCAAACACAAACACTCTGGTCCTGACAGGGTAAGAGTGTCCAACAGAACTGGGGGAAACACACAGGCACTTCCCTCGTGCCTTTTTACTGTCAGATTTGTGCAAACCTAGTTGATGACGAGTTAGATTGTGCTAAATGTTAGACATCAGATGTGGTTCAGGAGCATTTCTGTGGAGCTATGTCAGGGGAGGGTTGGGCTGGAAAGCAGGGAAAGATTCTTTCCCCAGAGGTGTTTGGGCACTGGGACAGGGTCAGGTTGGATGTCAGGACAAGGCTCTTCCCCCAGAGGTGTTTGGGCACTGGGACAGGGACAGGTTGGATGTCAGGACAAGGTTCTTCCCCCAGAGGTGTTTGGGCACTGAACAGCTCCCCAGGGCAGTGGTCACAGCCTCAAGGCTGACAGAGCTCCAGGAGGGTTTGGCCAATGCTCTCAGGCTCAGGGTGCAGTGTTGGGGTGTCCTGGGCAGGGGATAGACTCTGATCCCTGTGGGTCCTTCCAGCTCAGGAGATTCCATGATTCTGTGATTTAAAGTAAACCCAACAAACAGCACTCCTCCAGTAGTTCCAAAGAGACAGGAGAGCCCTCACTTCCAGGCAACAGTTCAATGGCAAATTAACTTAACAAACTGCTGCTTAATTCAGCTCAACATGACTGACTCCTGCAGCAGGGAATGTCCATGTTCCTCCTTCCCTTCCCAAGTGTGCCAATGGGGCCAAAGCCAAGCACAGTCCTTACTCAAAGCCATTGCCTGGAATGGTAATTCCATGTCTTCTGCTCTCTGCCCCCAAAGCAAAATGGCAAACCGAGTTGTTAATAGCAAGAAGAAGAGAGAGTGAGTGTGTGGCGTACCGGGGTGAGCGAAAGCAGGCAGAGGCTGGATGACAGCAGGAGCTCCGTTAGCCAGGGGAGGCACTGCCGCTGCAGGAACAGAGGACACCAGTGGTGGAGACATTCCTACCACTGGAATGGATGCCATTGGCACTGGGGCCACAGCTGGGAGCGATGGCATGCTGGCAATGCCCCCAAGACCTACAGGGAGGAAGAGGAGAGATTTCGGTCTGATTTACACGTGCCTAACACGAGACAACCACTGCAGCCAGCAGGAAATGCAGGACCCAGGAGCAGATCGCCATGGAAGCTCACACATCCCGCTGGGAAGGAGCCTCCAGCACGCAGGGAGCAGCACCCCACGGGATGAGGCAGGTAAGGGGCAGCACTGCCCGCAGTGCTGACCCACACCGGGACAGGCAGGAGCTGAGTGCCCTGAGCTGACTGCAGAACTCCGTGGGGTGCAGTGGGTGAGGGAGCAGAGGCTGCTGAGCCCCAGCTGTGCAGCACGGGCTGCAGGATTGGTGCCCATGGCTGCTGTCAGCAGGGACAGGGCAAAGCTCATGGGGAGAGCACAGCAAGGAGTGTCAGGGCTGCAAGCACCGAGCAGGGCTGACAGGGCCAGGGGCTGAGCAAACAGCTGGGACAACTCTGCACTGAAGGAGAATGAGAGAATCACAGATTTTTTGGGGGTTTAACTTTGTTTTGCCTTTTCTCACTTAAAACCTCTATTTGCTCTGTTTGTATTTCACTGTGTTCTTACAAACAATTTCTGGCTGCAAAACTAGTGGGAGCAGCAGTGAATTGAATGCCACAGCCGCATGAGGTGCACCAAAGGCACTGTCCTCCTTCCTTAAGGACACTCAGATGGGAGACTGGACAAGAATTGCTCCCTGGGAGGTGCTGAGGCACTGGCACAGGTTGCCCAGAGCAGCTGTGGCTGCTCCATCCCTGGGAGTGTTCCAGGCCAGGCTGGATGGGGCTTGGAGCAGCCTGGGCTGGTGGGAGGTGTCCCTGCCCAGGGCAGGGTGGGATGGGATGAGCTTTAAGGTCCTTCCATCCCAATCCTTCTGTGATTCCCTGATTCTCAGCACCAAACAACTTGAGTCACAGCAACACCTAGACTAGAAAGGTCCACAACCTCTCACTGCAGGACACAGCAGAACACCAATGTGTCAAACAGGAGCTTCAGCTTCATTTAGTCATCTTCCTCTCCCCATCCCATGTTCCCTGCTCTTTTCCTTGAGTAATTGGTGACTTTGGAGGGACCTAATCCCCAGAACTGAGCCAGGAGCTGTTCAGCTCAGGGCAGAGCAGCACTGTCCATCAAAGAAAGGCACAGGAGTGCAGGAACTTGTCAAAACTCAAGACAGACAGAGCTAACCTTGCCAGAGGCTGAGATCCCATAATGCCAACAGCTTGAATCAGAACTCCATCCCTCTGGAATGCACTGGCCCTGCCACCTGAGCCATGTTTTGTTGGAGCAGTGTAAGACCTGAAGCCAACAGGACTCAGCTCATGTTATACATTTCTAGGTGCTGAAAGCCCAGTGTGATATGTTTTGGTGCATGTGACACATGCGGCAGCACTTGGGTTTGAGTCCATGAACTCTTAATACTACTTCAACCCAAAATTTCCTTCTAGAAGCTGGAAAATGACACTCAAACCCAATGAAGCTGCTAAGAAGGAGGAGAAGGCAGAGCTTACCAAACCCTGGGGCAGCAGGGAGGGCAATGGGTGGCTGCTTCATCACAGGAGGCAGAGCTGAAGGAAGTTGGTAGCCCTGGAGCTTCAGTTTGATGAGTTTCATAGCTATGGAGAACTCCAGTGGATCCATCCTCCCATCATTGTTCATGTCAGCTAGAGCCCTGCAAAACACCAGTCAGGAGTCTGCAATTAGGAACTTCAGGAAGTGACCTAGGAGCAGGCACAGACAGGGATGGACAGTCCGAGCTGATGGGGCTGGGGAAGGGGCTGGAGCACCAGGAGAGGTTTTTAATCCAATCTCTGACCTTCTGTGAGCTCATCCACATCAGCTTCACTAGCTAAAGGACCAGCATGAACTGACTGAAAGGATTGTGGACACACCCAGAGCTCAGCAACAGCTATACAGCAACACCAACAAAAATCAGCTTTTGTCTAACTGAACAGTGCAAACACAGGGCAAATTCTCATTTCCCATGCCAGAAGTTGGTCTCAGACTGTTAGATCTGACAGGACAAATGTCCCTCATCACCGCTCTGCTGCCAAGGAAGTTTGGAAGGCTGTGGTGCCCCCAAATCTGCCTGGGCTGAGGCCTGGCAGGAACCAGAGCAGTCACTGCATTGCTCCCTGGCTAAGTATTCCCCACGTTACTCAGTCCAGGGTGTGTTTGTACCCAGTGACCAGAGCTGCAGTGACCAGCACTGTGCTGGGACCAGCTGCTGACAATCCTTCCCTCATAGACAGTTTCCTTCTCCTTTCTCTTGTCTTCACTGCAAAATGCAAACCCAACTTGATTCTTTGTGCATCTATGAGGTGCAGAAACTGAGCATGAGCAGCTTTTCCATCCAATGTGCTTATAATTAGCCTATAAACCATGAGAGCAGCAGTGGTAAAACCAGGAAATCTGGATTTACTTAGCTTTCTGTTCCCGTATTGGATTACACAACCCATATTGCAGTGTAGAACTCAGCCAGAAATAGAGATCTGGGGAGAAATCAGGTCCTGAGCATCAGACACATAGATGCATGTGTAAAGAGCTACAACTCACAGAATCACACCAATTCTGGGACATCAATTTCAGCAGGTTGGGAAGGGAGTGTGCCAGAAAGAGGGAAATCACCGAAGGGGTTTGGTCTGTCCTGAAGGAGTAACTCCCTCCACATGCATGAGAGCAGATGGTACTGATTGTCTAGCTCTCCTTTCCCCAAGGGGCAGACAGCCCCCAGAGACCTCCCTAGGCCACCTCTCAGGGGCCTGAGCACAGGGGCACAGTGGTGCCTGCTTAAGCCCAGTGACCTCCCAAGCCATTGCAGGCCCAGTTCAAAGCCTGCTTAGAGGCTTCTTAAGAGCTCACCAGCTCAGAGCACTGCACAGCCTGGGAAGGGCAGAGCAGCACAGAAGCTGTTGGGACAGACCATAATAATTCCACTCATTTGCTCCACTGAGGTCTCAGAGACTTACTGTTAACTAAAGGAAGGAGGAGCAGAAGGGAGAGAGGAATTCTCAGTGCTAGAAACCACAGAGTGACTAGGCTTAAGGAGCAGGAGATCTGGAGAAGCTTCTACTACCAGCAGAACTAGTCAGATATTCCCTGTGTCCAAGGGACCTGTGACCACCCAGTGGTCAGGGACCCTCTCAGGAACACAGGCCAAGCTCCGGTCGTGCACTCAGGCACAGCAAGCAAATGTCTTCAGAACAAGGAGATTAATTAGCAGTAGGAAACCTAGAGATACTTCCATGCAGATTTCCCATCCCTGGAAGTGCTCCAGGTTGAATAGGGCTTGGAGCAGACTGGGCTGGTGGGAAGTGTCCCTGCCAGGGCAGGGGTGGCACTGGGTGAGCTTTAATGTCCCTCCCAACCCCTTCAGCCAGGGACTGAAAAACTCAGCTGAAGCATCCTGCAGAGTTTTGCCTTTTGGAAAGCACATGAAACTAGAGCTCTGATATCACAGAATCACCAAGGTTGGCAGAGACCTCCAAGCTCATCCAGTCCCACCAGCATCACCCCCAAACCATGTCCCCAGGGACCACATCCAAACACCTCTGGGACACTCCCAGAGAGAGTGACTCCACCACCTCCCTAGGCAGCTCATTCCAAGGCCTGAACACTCCGGTAGGGAAAAAGTGTTTCTAGTATCTAATCTGAACTTCCTCTGGTGCAACTTGAGACCATTTCCTCTGGTCCTGTCCCTTGTTCCCTGGGAGCAGAGCCTGAGCCCACCTCACTGCACCTCCTGGCAGGAGCTGGAGAGAGCAGTGAGTTCCCCCCTGAGCCTCGGGCTGAGCCCACCCAGCTCCCTCAGCCACTGCTCTCAGGACTGACTCTGCACACCCTTCCCCAGCTCTGTCCCCTGCCCTGGACACCTCCAGCCCCTCCATGTCTCTCCTGCAGAGAGGGCCCAGAACTGGTTCCAGCACTACTGGGGCCTCTCCAGTGCCAGCATAGAGGGACAATCCCTGCCCTGAGCCTGTGGCCACACCATGGCTGAGCCAGGCCAGGAGCCACTGACCTTCTGGCACACCTGGGCACACTGTGGCTCATGTCCAGCTGCTGTCACAGCACTGCTAGGGCCTTTTCCCTCTCTCCAGCCCTACTGCCCCAGCCTGGGGTGTTCCACGGGCTTAGTGTGACCCAAGGGCAGGACCAGCACTTGGCCTTGCTGACCCTCACACCGCTGGCCTCAGCCCCTGGATCCAAAGGATCAGCCTGTCCAGATCCCTCTGCAGCAGATCCACATCCCACCCAGCTTAGTGTCACCCATGAAGTGACTGAGGTACCCCCAGTCCCCTCACCCAGACCATCAGTAAAGCTATTGGACAGGCCCCAGCTCTGAGGACACCCCTAGTGACCAGTCCCACCTGGATTTGGTTCCATTCACCAGCAAACCACAACCACTGTCCCAGTCTGTCCCAGTAAGAATTACTAGTGTGGCTGCCTTGCCCCATGCCATGCCCATACTCACCAGATCTGTGCCAACACAGGCTGAGGCAACCCAGATTGAAAAAAAAAGTTCCTAGCTTGATCACCTGTAAAATAAATAGGACATGGGTTGAACAGCTGCTATAAATACCTGTCAGGGGGAATCAGGAGTCAAAAATATCCACCACAGGAGCAACAGGAAAACCATAAATAGTTAATGCTGCACTTACATAACAGAGTATGAGACTGAACCTCAGTTTGGCACTTGCAAACCTATCAGGTGTTCCCAACAAGCAAACACTGCAACAATCAGCTCCACCTGAGCATGAACATCCAGGGATCTCCAAGCCACTTTTCAACTGGCAATTAAAAGCAAGGAGAGCAAAACACTTCCAAAAGGATTGGGCATTGGGAAGTGCTGTGGGCTGGAGAGCTGTAAATTAGAAACAGCACTAATTATCAAAGGGGGCCAATAGAAGCAGTTGGATTTTGTACCATGTGTCATGGAATAGCAACAGAAACCACTGTGTTGGAGACTCAGAGGCCCTCCCTGGGCTGGGGAGGAGGTCTCTTCCCAGAAGAGAAAACCTGAGCAAATGGGACATGAAATGAGAAGGATCTGTTCCAGTCTTTTCACCCTTATGCCCATATGTCTCCCAAGCAACTCTGCACATATTTCAGGTCACTAGATAAGACTGAATGAACTGAAGTTAGGAGGGACAACTATTTCCTCACCAGTGATAAATCCAGCTGTTGGTTTCAGACTGTGGAACTGCTGATCATGTTTAGCTCTCTCCTCCACAGTAATAGCCCAGATATCCAGGTTGCCTAGGCCAAAGAAAAGGGAGAAATGGCATTAAGAAACATTATTTTAAAGCACCTTTTTATTTCTGAGTGCAAACACATCCCTCTAGGCCTCTGGGGGTGATGTGCTGAAATCCACATTCCCTAAGGCACCTCAAGGCAGCAGTCCATCTGTCCATCTGTCCCTGCCCAGAGCACAGCCCTGAACACACAGAGCCTTGAAGTGGAACCAGACTAGTTACTGAGGCCTAGCAGTGAGATTTGTCATTGTCACCTTTCTGCAGGTCAGTTGCAAAACTGAACTTGGAAATGTATTCCCAGTGTCTGAAGGGGCTACAGGGAAGTAGGAGAGGGACCCTGCACCAGGAAATGGAGAGCCTGGACAAGGGGAATGGGTTTAGGCTGAAAGAAAGGAAATTTAGGTCAAATATTGGGCAGGAATTGCTCCCTGGGAGGTGCTGAGGCACTGGCACAGGTTGCCCAGAGCAGCTGTGGCTGCTCCATCCCTGGGAGTGTTCCAGGCCAGGCTGGATGGGGCTTGGAGCAGCCTGGGCTGGTGAGGGGTGTCCCTGCCCAGGGCAGGGGTGGGGTGAGATGATCTTCAAGCTCCTTCCAACAAAACCAGTCTGTGATCCCATGATTCCATGTGAATAGCAAAAGTTAATGTTCCCATTGCACTGCCAGGGCTCATCCTGGACTTTCCATTGCAATTCCATGTTCCAAGTTCACCTGCTATAAATGTAGAGCTAAAAATTGTGGCACCTTTATTCAAGCAGGTTAATGGTTGGACTTGATGATCTTAGAGGTTTCCTCTGACTGTGATGATTCTAATCTAAACATTGGTTATGGGACAACAGGGAAAATCACCTGGAAGTAACAGCACTGAAAGGGATCTGCTGGGCTTTCCAGCCATCAGCAAGCCCAGGAATCCCCACAGAGAAATCACACCCAGCTGTGGGGCACACATGGAGCAGAAGGAGGTGGTGCCTGGTGGCAGTGCCTAGAGGTGCCCTGCAGTGACAGACTGAGGGAGCAGTGCCTGGAACAGCATCTGCCCAGCTCTGCCCTTTGCCTCTGCTGGGAAGTGTCTGCACTGACACTACCAGACACTCTCCAGAAGCACGTCCATGCGCAGAGTGTTTGGATAGCATTGGATTTATGGAGAGTTTTCACACAGGAATGGTTCTGATCACACTGGAAACCACTTACCCCCAAAAGGTGTTGGAAACTGAGCCATGATTCTGTCACTTTTAGCTTGCTAATAGATGCCTGGAAAAGAAAACAAACACAGGTATTAAAACAGTTGCAGCACCTTCAATTTTCCATCTATTTTCTGTGTCACCTCATGATTAATTACTACAGCAAAAGGGAAAGGCAGTGAAGCAGCAGATTACATCAATATCCCACAAGAACTGCGGAGAGGGGAAATGGATGTCTCATTTTGTACCTCCCTGTGCATCCATGAGGGAATTTCCTACTGGCAAATAGCTGCACTCCAGTTCTGGTTCAAGAATGGCCTCAAAAATGAGCTTAGTTTTTGAAGAATCAGTGATGGAGTGAAGGACAGAGATCAGTCAGTGACACTGCTCAAGGCTCCATGACTTTTCCAGGTGCCCAGGAGGAAAACTGGTCCATATCCAACATCCCCAGTGACCTGGTAGTTGTTTCTGACCAAAAATGCACTGATTTGCTTAGAGTTCCTTGAAACAAAACACGTGAAAGGAATTAAACTCCATTTCCTGCTCTACCCCCAAGCTCAGGAGCACCAAGGGGGAAGGTGGAAGGGAAAACACGTCCCCGGGTAGGAGATGCTGCAGGAGAGCACTGCTGGCTCTGCAAACAAAGCAGAGCACACAGGCTTGGAGCCGAGTCTGAGAGGAAGAAAGGAAAGCCATTCCTCTGGCAGCAGACAAAGGCTGCCATGGGCTGCCTGAGCCCAGGGACAATGGGCAGCACCGGAGCCACACAACAATGAGCAACAGCCTCTTGGCCCCACCAGATTCCACCCGTGCTTTCCAGGCAACAGGAGAAAGGCAAAAGGCAACGCAATCAGGAGGGGAATAATTTAGCCTGCTTGAAGAGCAGCAGAAATTTATCAATATCCCTGAAAAGGGCATTGACTTGCACCAACAATTTCCTTTTGTCCCAAGTGCTGTTTGCTCCCATCCCCCTCGCACTCTTCCCACATTCTCCTCTGGCTCCAGCCTGGACCCTGCTCTCTGTCCCTCCCCACAAGGCTCTGGCCCTTTGGCAGTTGGGATTTAGGGAATGATGGGCACAATGCTGACTTCTCCCCCCTGGATCTGGCAGAGGACACGACTCCAACACCTCCTCCCCAGGGCCAGGGCCCATGGTGACACTGCTCCACGCACAGGAGGTGTCACCTCCAGGGGCCCAAATCCCAGCACAGCGATCAGAGGGATCATCCTGGCAGGAACTGGAGAGAGCAATGAGTTCCCCCTGAGCCTCCTGTTCCCCAGGCTGAGCCCACACAGCTCCCTCAGCCACTGCTCCCATCACTGACTCTGCACACCCTTCCCCAGCTCCATCCCCTGCCCTGGACACCTCCAGCACCTCCATGTCTCTCCTGCACAGAGGGCCCAGGACTGACGTTTCAATTTCCAACCTTAATTCTAACTAACTGCTGATATTTGCATTTGTAGGAACTGAAATCTCTCAGCAGCTTTTTGCACTCTTAACAAATTCGGTTGACACTGACCAAGGAGCTGAGAAATTACTCCTGCCGGAAGCAGGAGAGACCAGAAGGGGAACCCCAACTGCACTGCCAGGCCATGTACACAGCACTTCCCTGGAAAGCCACCCCAAAACTCCTGCCATGGGCAAAATGATGCCAGCAATGGCCTGTGACACAACAGTCCACATGGTTTGTTTTCCACGAGAATCAGGAGATGCAATGGATGCTTTACCCTGCTGTTAGAGAGCACAGTGAAGAACTCTGAGCTATTCATCTCTGCTCATCAAAGAAAAGCTGAAACTGTTCCCACACTGAGATGTGCCAAACCAGTCCCAGAATCATGGAGTCAATCAGGTTGGAAAAGGCCTCCAAGTCCAACCCATGACCCAACACCACTTCTCAGCTAGCCCAGAGCTCTGAGTGCCATGTCCTGAGTTCCTGGGATACCTCCAGGGACCTTAAAGCTCATCCAGCTCCACCCCTGCCACAGGCAGGGGCACCTTCCCCGGGCAGGGACCCCTTCCACTAG